CAAGAGGATTTTTGCCATTGACTTCAATGGCCCCATTGGTTATAATGGATAAATTTCGGATATCTATGCTTTACCGATATAGATATTCGGGTTTTTTCGGGTTTCCCGAAAAAATTCGGGTCCAGTAAACCCGAATCCGAATTTTTTTTTTGCAGACCCCTACTGGCTGATATAAATGGGAGGGGAACACATAGGAAGAAAGGAGGAACCATAGGAACCTAACCAATGTTCCCTCTAAGCTGAGTTAGTGTGAGCTAGCTCACAGTTTTTAGCCTCCAGGTCACACATTTTTGCCTTAGCTCAGGCAGGATGGCTCCAGGGCAGACTAATTTATGTAGCAGCCAAATCGCTCGCTCACAACTTTAATGCCAGTAGCTCACAAAGTTGAATTTTTGCTCACACTTCAATGCTTAGAGGGAGCATTGAACCTAACCACTTCCTCAGTACTGACTTAAGCAGACACCTTCCTCTATCTACTACGTTATCTACACTGTATTCAAACAAACGTGGTTGCGCATAAGCACTCAACGGAGCATGCGCATTCGTAGTGTACACAAAAAAAGAAACCCAGTTCGCCGCGCCGCGCGCTTCTTCGTTGCGCGCAGGCATGTGTTGTGATCGACGCCTCTCCGTAACCACGGAAGCTCCACGGTACCTCCACAGAACCTCCACAGGAGGTATGATCACTTTACTGCGTGTTAGTTTGCCCCGGGGCAAACAGCCACACTTCTCCCCCGCAGTTTCCTGCGCGTGTGACCGGGGCCAAAATATAATTTTTACAACACACCCCTGGCTCCTTTTTCCTTGCCCCGTTTCTTTCTTTTTTTAATTTTTAAAATTTAAAGTTTACGGATGTTTAATGAATTGAGTAGAAAAGACTTAATACAACCATGCATAGTTATTCAATTCATAATCGCAGAGGGAAAGAAAAAGGGAAGAACAAGAAGAAATATTTTAAGTTGATTCGTTCAAAAATACATGGTAATCCTTCCTATTGGGAATGATGTTGTTATCTTTAAGATGCTTTATCACCAGATGCCACGCTTCCTCATGATTAACTTTCCATATATTTTTAACGTTTTCCTCAAAAAAAGAGTTGCTGATTATTTTACTCATTATGTACATTTCCCATTTTATTATACCACTGTACCTTCGCAGGTAGTGTGGCTGATTTCTCATACTTAGCTACTAACAACTTGACACTGCCAATAGTATTGAAATCAAAATTGTATGTTCTTCTATCATCTTATTGTTGTGCCAGATATCAGATAGTATCACTTTAATATTGAAAAGAAAGGAAGATTGTATTATCTTTAAGAGTTCTTCATAAATTTCCCTCCAGAAAAACTTAAAGATTGGACATCCCCACCAGATATGAAAGGAAGTACCTTTCATTTTACATTTCCTCCAGCAGTCTAGACTAATAGATTTGCCCCATTTCACTAGATTGGCTAACCCTGTTTTCTATCAGAAAGAAAATATAAGCTTGGGAAGGAAAACACAATCAAGAGAAATCAGGAGGGACAGTATGGTAAAAGGTGGGCTGTGAATTGCTTTTGACAGTAAAAATGTTGTGTGCAGAGCAATTTCTATTGGACGTATTGGCTGGAGCTGCCCCCTGCACAAGTCATCACCAGCAGAAGGCTTGTCCAGAGAAGAGCACCATCAATCATTTAATGCAGCTGGAGAGGTTAGATTTCTCCTCTGCTGCTGCCTATCTCCAGGAGTAGTGGTACTGAGTGCTGGGATTTCTGCATTCAGATGTCATAACAAACCAGGTTCAAAGTCTTAGCTTAGCACCCACCAACATGCCTCTGTTTGTTGGGCTGCCTTCATTCAGACATCATGCTACATGTGATTAAATCAATGTGTCACTCTGTGAGCATGGGTCTACTTGGTGTGCTCAGGATCCAATCCCAGGCCCAAATCCCAGGCCAAGAGCTCCGAAGGATTTGTGCTTAAGGAACAATCTTGCAGTGCGTGTGCCAAGAATGTTTTAAACCTACCAGTGCAAACTGGTTGACTTGAACATACAGCACCTCCACCTCTTTCTCAGTGACATTGGTTCCAAACCCTTTATACTCCTTGTACGCTTCAAGGTAAGCTCTCAGCCACTGCTCCTGCAGTTTTCTGCTTGGGTAGAGGCTATAGTCTACCTCACTCACTCCTAAAAAAAAGAAAGCATCAATTATGAGAAAGCTCAAAGTTCCAGCAGGTGCTCACTCGTCGTTCATCAACTGAAATGCAGGCTATATGTGACTTGCTTCCCACCTCCCCCTTCCAGTTGAAATCCTCTGTCCCTCCTTCCCAAATACTGCTGCTCAGGATCAGGAGACCCTTGGAAATGGCACTGGGTGTGTCATTGTGTTCTGCAATGAAAGAGGGAGACTCCGCTGACACTGCATTGATTAAGCAGACAGAAAGGACGTTTTTGCTCTCACAGGAGCAAATTTGGATACAACTCTTGAACTGATTTATAACCCAAACTGTAACATAGAAAAAATGCAAGTATCTTTTAGTATGCTGAAGTTCAGCAGGCACACACACCTTTTACTTCCAATAGTGTGTATATGTACAGTTTCTTTGTCACACATTATAACTCAGGCAAAGTTTTGCCCTTTTTCCCTTTATGAAATTTGGTATTACATTTTGGAACATAGGATACATATGAAAACAAGTGAAAAGAGGGATAAAATACAATAGGATAAAATACCACAGTGGTGTGAGAATGTTACAACAAAGGAAACCAACCCCACCCCACTCCATCACCACAAGATCACAAAGGGTCCTTCGACTTGCATTTTACCACCACCACCACCACCCCCGGTTCCAGGCTGGCTTCCTATCACTGTGCAAAAGCACTCTCTAGAGGATTCAATATCCAGGATAATGGAGACCAGGTGTTCAAATAACACCATGGGCTCTCCCCAGTTCAGACACTACCCTCTGTGTGTGGCAAGGAAGGGGAAGGGGGGGAGCAAATAAGCAATGCATAAGCACTATTTCTGATCAGACAGAGAAAGAATGAATTTCTGGTCAGCCTAGGGTTGCCAGTATCCAGGTGGGGGCTGGTGCTCTTCTGAAATTACAACTGTTCCCCAGACTACAGAGATCAGTTTCCCTGGAGAAAATGGGTGCTTCAGAGGGTGGACTGTATTTTGTTTACATTATTCATATGCATATAAATATGCTCACTTTACTTATATGGCATCACATCCATGCTGAGTTCCCTCTCTTCCCCAGGCTCAACCCCCCCCCCCCCCCCCATCTCTAGGAATGATTCCCCAATCTGGAGCTTGCAACCCTAGGTCAGCCCAATACTGACCTCAGTCTTTTTAACCAGCAGCTTTAGGTGACATTTGTATAAGGAAGCCATGTTAACTAAACTACCTGCAAATTCATTGAAGTGATTTCCAATGTCGTAAGCCAAGTAATTGTATCCAGAATACTCATAGTCAATGAATTGAACATCACCTACATGAGACACAAAAAATAAAAAGTGTAAAAGGAGTAAGTATTGGAGAAACAAATGCCCCACATCTTCAGTGTGCCTTGCCAGCGGTTCCAGCTTTTTGTGCTTATTTGCATGCACTTAAAACATTCCAAGATAAGGGTATTTAAAAAAAACAAAAAATGAGCTTCTTTAATTAATAAAGGTATAAGTTCTTACACATGTTTGATCTAAAGAGCTTAAGATTCCTAAGCATCAAATTTTATTTTGTACCACAGGGGGGCAGCGGTTGTCTTAATTCTCATTAAGGCTGGAGTTGACACATGTTAAATATATAATGCTCCCTATGATCAGACTAGCATTCTTATAGGCAAGGTTTGTTTTTATAAACACAATAGCAGTGGTTTTGCATGAGGGAATGAATGCACTGTATATATTTTTTTCCAGGTGGCTCTTTCTTCCTTCACAAGGAATGGATTCAGTAAAAAACTGTTACCTTTCTTATGTGGCAGCATACACTCATTCCCCCAAACAAACAAAAATGTTCTCATACCAAAAGAACTGTGTAGCCCATGATGGAGAGACCATGCAATACTCTTTCCTCAAATATTCACGTTCTTCAGATTTTAACTAAAAATCTGAAATAATACAGCTTTCCAGGATGGGGGGGACAACATGATTGTTTTGGTTTTATACCTCAGTTTAAATTGGCAGCAATAGATATACCTTCTAAAACTTTTAGAATGCATCTAAAATGATGGAAATTTAAATTCCATAAAGGTTCCTCAGCAAGGGCCTTACAAGAAGCTAGAGAGTAATTTACACCCTAAGGCAAATAATGAAATTATTTCTCGTAGCTGTTAAGTGATGGCTGTTCACCATTTCCTAACCCAATTATCTTCTAAAGTCATTTTATAAAGATGTATCAGTAAAAAGAAAGAAAGAAAAAAATCACAGCCTAACCCAGATTAATAGAGCTAACTTTAAGAGAAGCCCATTCATATGGTCCTTTTTATCCAAACGTTTGTCTTTAAAGCAGATAACAGATGGCAGGTAAAAGGTCTGCTGGTACCGAGCATAAGACAGACATTTAACATAAACATACTTCTGCACCCAAGTTCTACCTTGGGATACAAGTCTGCAGTGCCATTAATCACCACCAAGTTACCCTTGCTTTTATGCAAATGCTAATTTCCAGTTACAATTAACAGCATTACAAAATTAAAAATAAAATATGAAGCTAAGATACAGATGAGGCTGTTACCAGGCTCCGTGCTCTCCTAGGGGGAGGTGCATGCGAACAAGTGATGCGATAAACCTCCAGTCAGTGCCTTTAAGTAGCACGGTGCACGCCGCCAGTTGGCAGCAACAATGGCATACCTAATCTGTAGCAGATGAAGAAAATTTGGCAAACTCATATTTGATAAGACACAAAACTTTAAAGAGAAAAGTTCTGCATTTCACTGGTCTTCCTTTTTGCAGACTACTAACTAACATTACAGTGGAACTCAGCCTTAAATTTAAGTTTTGCAAGAAATACAAGGGTGCAAGATGCACAGCTCCCTCTGATTTTGTACCTCAAAGAAACACGACAATAAGCAAATATAATTGGGGTGTGTGTGTGTGTGTTAAGGGTAAAATTCTTCACTCGTTTCTCTTTTACACCAAGGAGAATTCCCTTGTGAAACTCACTGAATGGTGTAATTAACAAATATTAGTTCAGGAAAAGGAGTCATTTTTTTCACACAGAGCTACATTATTAGTCTTCAGGGGGATGGATCTGCCATGCTGTCTTACTCCAGGATCAAGGCCTGTGGAAAATGTGCTTGAGAACAACGAAATGCCTAATATTTTCAAGAATCTCTACTGAACAAGTGACTTGACGTCAGCTTAGCTGCTTTTTCACAATTGTTGCTTTTAAGCGATGAGAATTAGTTAGGAGGAAAGAATGGGAGGCAGGGAGGGGAGCAGCAGCACAGGGGAAACGAAAAGAGACAGAAGGGGGAAAAGGCACAGAAAAATATGCAGGTTTGCACCCAGTTCAAAGAATGCTACAGAAATATGCAATAATATTCTGGAAGAATTCAATCTGAACACAAGAGCCACATTACTTTTAAAAGCCTAATATTAGTGTTACTTCTTAAAAGTCTAATATTGACAAGTTATTGGAACGCATGACGGTGCTATTCGGCAAGCTGGTTCATGGTGGTTGGGGGTTTTTTAATTACACAAAGCAATTATTGCTATGTTACATAAGGCTTCGTTGTTTGATTTAATATCCTGAATGAGGGTAGTTGCATTAGTGAAAGCAGCAAGAGGCAGCTTCGACTGGCATAATGCTAATGTCTGGCCTACCTCCTCCAGTTTCTGTATTTCATTTAAAAGTGTTAAATTTCAGGTGAAAATGTTAGATGAACGCATTACGAGAATTCTTTATCAGTGTAATGATGGGTATACAAAGTGAAAAGAAAGACATTTAAGAGTTAGAATGCGACATTTTAAAACCCTAGTTTCACAGGAACTTATATAACAGAATGATGCGTTGTTTTTAGACATTATAGCTCTCTATTTCTTAGAAAACAGGAAAATAATGTTGATTTTGACAAGACTTGGGATGTTTAATAAACATTTCAGAATTTGTGTGTGTGTGTGTAAAGTACCATCAAATCACAACTGTATGGTGACCAGGTAGAGTTTCTGAGGCAAGAGACAAACAAAGGTGCTTTGTCATTGCCTGTCTCTGACTAGCAACCCTGGACTTCTATGCTATTTATTCTTCAATGTTTCCTTAAATTAACTATCATGATTTATAATGGACAGTTATAATAGTTGTCCCATATTGAAAAACTAGACAATGCCCTGAATCTTTGAAAATGTTCAATTAACACAGTTTGTTACTTAAGCAATGGCACAAGTAACAGTGACTGGACAAGAAGAACACGTGAAGGCTGAAAGAACTGCTGACCAGCAGCCTTGCCATTTTTCAATTTAGTACTACTGCTCTCTTTACATAAATATACTCCAAGACTGGTAGGGTACCTAAGTTTCCTAGGTCAAGCACAAATCACAGTGTGGCTATTCAGATGCAAAGGCAAACTATGATTTTATGCAAACCAGGAACTAATATGCTCGTGGCACACTAGAGAAACTGTCAGAGGCTCCCTCCAAACTCAAACGCGTAATACCTACCATAGTTAAACCAAGAAACCTACCACAAACTAATAAAGAGATGCAACTACAGGTCATGTGTTCTAAGTTATCTTTGAACTTCAGTTGTTTATGTTTAAGTAAACTGAAAATTTTTTAAATCTTCACAGAATGTGCTAAAAATATTGAAAGATCACTGCAGACAACTGGAATATGTCCACAGGGACAAGAGAAGCCCTTTGCTCTAACATATGATAGAAAGCTATAATCAAACCCGTTTTAGCTCTTTCAAAGGATATAGAAACTATTTATCACAGACGGAAGCAAAATGCCTAAATGATGGGGTTTTGGTTTTTGTAGATGGTTTGTTAAGAGGAAAAAAGATGATAATCCTGTTATGTTGCATTTCTACTGATATTCTGTGGGAACAAAGTATGCAAGTTCTTGGAAACCAAAGCTTCAAAGTAAAGACACTAATACAGAAACAGCTAAGTGTATTAAGCAGTCAAAGAAAGCGGACATGAGGAATGTGGCCAATCATTTAATAAACAGGAAAAACATGCTATTGTGAAAAACATGATTGAAGAATATCTCAAAGTAAAAAAGAAAGCAGACCATTTAGATCAAAACACTGACATCCCTAGCAAAGCAAAGCACCAGAAGCCCAATTTTAAGAGATGAAGGCGAAGACAGATTTTCTTTAGCAAAGCTATCAGTTGAGAACTATCATCTGCTAAACTGCAGCAGCAGAAGTAAACAAGAGTCCTGTAGAACTTTAAGGACTAACAGGTTTCCCTATAGCATAAATTTACATGGACTAGAGCCAGCTCCTTCAGATACATCCTCTAGTTCATTAAAATTTATGCTAGAATAAAATCCAAGTCTTTAAGGTACCAGATGCCTGTTAAATGCAGAAGATGAAATAAAGCGATGGGATCTCTGGCAAAACACTAACTTTTAAACAATATACAACTCAAAATAGACAAAGTGACATATTAACTGATGTAATGGTTTCAAAGAATGGTTATCTGAAGAACATGTTTTAATTTATTAATTGAGGGGGGGAAATCTAGAGAGCAAAGTGCATCTTTAAATTGTTCTTTGTTCTTATTCAAACACTTGCAAAACATTTAATATACCAGTTGTATCTGAACTGCATTCTTTTAAGAATTTGTATTCTTTTCATTGGCCAACATATTTTTTTAAAGTTAAAGCTGAGTTTCCACTGCAAAAGTAAATGATTCCTCTATATGTACCACTTTCATAAACACTGTTGCCCAGCACAAGACAATACACAGCGTTAATATTTTACAAATGGTTTAGTGAGTTCAAGATTAAAAATAATGCTTGAGATATCAGCATTATGGAAGACTTAGGCATGGTGAAGGCTAATTTACATGATCATGTGAAGAAGCAGTTATTCATTCACTGCAGGGCAAACATGATCATATGAAATCTGCCCTTACTGTGTATGTGTTGTGCTGCAATATTCAAATACTTCTTCTTCAATCGACACATTCTAGGTACTACATACACTTCATATTCCCCCACACACTTTAAAAGTTGCAAGCAATGTTCCATATTGAGAGTTTCCCTCTCCCCCTCCCTGTTCCCAAACACTAAACACTCACACACTGGCTTTTGTAGAAATGCTCTTAAATGATGTACTGCTCTCACTGATTTATTCTCCATTCTGTTTGCAAAAGAAAATGACAGCATATTTGTTTGAAAAGTGGGAATGTCAAGCTTAGCAATGCTGACACTGTTCAATTCTGAACTACTGTCTTGGGCTTGACAGGACCCATTATTAGAAGGGTCTGTGTCACTTTTCTCAGATCTGATGAAACTGATTTAAAAAAAAAATCAGTCTACATGTTTACACATCTCCATTTAGTAATACTGTCTGCATTGCTATAAAATTTAAGAACTGTGATCTAAATACATTCTGGAAGGGTAATCTGTGACTACAGTGGGTCAAAGTACCCTTGCGGGTAGCTGACATAACAGAAGAACTAAAGAAGACCAGTTTCTGCTGCGGGCATGCATGACAGCATTGCTGTCCCTTTAATAAGAATTTGAGAGTCATTCATTAGCTCACTTTTCAACTTTGCCATGTCTGAATTGGGAACTGTGCAAAACACATAGTTCTTTGATGTGCATACAAGGTATCTTGTTTTTGCACAACCTGTTTATACTGAATAAATCAGAAGGAATAAGCACACAGGAGAAAATAATATGACTGGCAAAATCCTGGCACCTAGAAATTTAATTCTGACATCTAGGAATCTGAAATGCGCTATCAGTAGTAGGGAACTGCTGCAGGGATTGCAAACATACTGCATCTGCATGTGTTGTTCACTTACTATATTTTCTGTCATTCACAGCCAGTGTATGTTTACCCTTCTGATAAAGCCAGCATCAAATGCAAGGTGCTACAGATTTTTTGAAAATGTTTCACACAGATCATAAATTCTCCCTTTGGTTCATTATGAACATCCAAGTTTGATTCTGCTCCAACACAAACGTGGCACAGAAGTATATGAGACGTCTCTCCAAACCATAATTTGCAAACTGGATCCAAAACCCCAGTATGCACATTTTCTCCCCTCCTTCTTTTGAGTGATATCCCCCCACCCCCCACCTTCACAGTGTTATCCACACCATTTCATGTTAAAAGTAGACTAACCAGCACTATAAGTAATACAACCCATCCTTCAACCATAATTGCAATCATTCATTTGTGAGGGACCCATTATTTGCATTGGTTAATATAGGACACTGATAAAGGCCAGAAAAAGAAGATTGCCCCAGAGAGGGGAGAAAATATATACTCTCAAAGCTGGCTTTTGCCTCATTTAATGTGTTTTTTAGTAACCAAAATTAAAACCCATCACGAATTACAAATATCTACATTTTTAATAGCTTGATTATTCAGTTCCCAGAACACAAGGCATTCTTTTCAAAACTTAAAATACTGTGGAAACTCTGACACAAAGAAAATAAATCTAATTAGCCAGTTTCCAGAATCCTCCCTACCTCAAATATATTTACAAACAAAGCCTTAAAGATACCTATGTACCTCATCAGCAGGACATAAACAGAGCCTTGGAAAGTATCTTTCCAGATACTTCACCATGTAGAATTCCTCCGTGGCATCAACATATCTGACAAATCAGAATAATACACAGGTAATACACAGTAACCTGGAGACATTCGCTCCTAAGGCTGTTGGAAACAATAAGTTTTTACCAACGACAATTAAGACAATTTCTGCTACGAGTACAATGGAATAATTGCTATTATGATATTTTTAAACATATTAACAGCTACAGTTGACAATTTTATTTAGACAGTATTTCTATACAAGTAAGCTATTACGGCACTGAATGTGTTTCAAACAAATTGTAATAAAGTATGTTTAGGCAGGGTTTATTTTTAAAAAGTACAGTTGCAACTATCTAAACACAAACTATTGTTACACATCAGGCAATACATAAATAAAAGATTACTTACAGCTGTATTCAATACCTACCTTGTTTTTGATTGTAGATGATATTTTTACACAACAGATCATTGTGACAAAGCACCACTGGGGAGCCCAGGTTGGACAGTCTCTCCTTCATCCACGTCATTTCCTCCTGAAGGATCTGAGGATTTGGGATATCCCTTAGAAACCTTTGGAGTTTGAAAAGAGAAAGTACTAAGCAGAACAGTACAACAGAAGCCATTTTCAATGTGTTATACAAAAAATGATTCTCCTTTCCCTTTTTTTTTAAAATATATTTTTATTGAGAACATTTCAAAACCATAAGATACAATACTAAACGTTAACAATCATCCAAATCAGAGATCAAAAACACTATGTCCTGAACCCCATTGACACATACAACAGACAGTGGTCGAACAATGTACATCCGTTAACCATCCTCGTCTTCTGGAAGCCAGTGATATTCACTTCCATCTTATCAGTTGTATAACATTATTTTATATTTTGCTTCAACTATGCTTACCCATTCGAAGTTATCTAGTACTATCTTCCCCAAAATGGGATTCCAAATATTTAGAGGGTTATAGAACTCACGCTCGGTTTTTATTTCCGTATCATGTATTGAGATGTTTTCTAACATAAATATGTCCCAAACTTTATTGATCCATTGGGTTATAGTCGGAGCGTTTTTGCTTTTCCAGTTCTTGGCAATAGTTATTTTTGCTGCTTCTAACAACAGGTTAACTAATTTCTTTGTGTCTTCAGGTGGACGGATTTGCGGCCAGAGGTGGAGCAGCATCAACTCCGGCGATAAAGGTAAGTCTGTATTTAGTAGATTGTTGATACTGGTACCTATCTGTGACCAAAATTTCTGTATTACTTTACAGGACCACCAATTGTGGTAAAAATCTGCCTTTTGCCCACATTTCTTCCAGCAGTATGGAGATGTCGATGGATAAATATGGGATAGTTTAGCGGGAGTTAAGTGCCACCTAGTAAGAATTTTCAGGTTCGATTCTTGTAATCCAAGGGTTCTAGACAGGGATTTTTGGGAGCGCCAAATTTCTTCCCACTGATCTTCCGATAATGTGTTTTCCAGATCCGCATTCCAAGCTCTTTGGTAGTTGTGTTGTTTGGGGGCTTGAGTGGAAACGACGATTTGTATAGTTTCGCTAGAAGTCCTTTTTTTGGAGGTGGTGAATCCAGAAGCTTTTCTAACCCCGTAAATTGCCCTTTACTCGTTGCATCGAACTCTGACGAGAAAATCAAATTCTGCACCTGTAGATATTCAAACCAATTTAACGACGTTTGATGCGTAGCCTCTATCTCACTTTTCAGACGCATTGCCCCGTTATGGACGACATCTTGTATTTTGTTTATTTTTTTAGCTCTCCACGTCTCAAAGGTGAGTGGTTGTTCCGCAGGTTTGAACCAGGATTGCCTCGTGAAGGTGCTGAGTAAGGAGTTTTTGGAAATTAATTTCGGTTTGACTTCATACCATGTTTTGAGTGCTGCTTTTGTGAATATATTTTTTAATTTGCTCTCGATGACTTTGTAGTTTTTGTGCCACATTAATTCCTGAAAGGAAGCCCCTTCGAGGTTGGATTCTTCAATGCTTCTCCAGTCTAGGATGTCTGTATCGTGATAATGGCGTATAGTGGATGCCATGATTGCTGCCTTTCGATAACTTTCTAGGTCGGGGATCGCTAAGCCTCCCTCTCTTCTTGGCGCTATCATGGTGCGATATGCTATCCTTGCTGGTTTCTTGCTCCATACGAAAGAGTTGAGATCCTTTTGCCACTTTTTCACCATTTGTGCCGGAATGCTTAATGGCATTGTTCTAAACAGGTAGAGGTACTTCGGAAGTATGAATGATCTCGCTATTGCTATTCTGTCGAGCCATGACAGAGGTTTCGCGTTCCATTCGCTCATTGATTGCTTAACTTCTTTGTGTGTTTCCCCGTGGTTTAATTGAATGAGCTTCGTGAGATCTAGTGGTATTTTTATCCCTAAATATTGAAAATGACCCTGAATCCAATGGTAGTGGAAAGTGGCTTTAATCTTTCTTTCTTCCAATAGACTAACCCGAATGGGATAGATCAAGGTCTTAGTTTGGTTCACCCTCAATCCTGAGACCTCGGCAAAATCGTTGAGCAATTTTTGAATCCCGGTTAAAGACTTGACCGGATTCTGGACATACAATACGACATTGTCCGAGCTTACCCTTGAGTTTTGTGTACAGTGTTGGATAACGTCCAAAGTTTTCCGGATGTTGTCCGCGATGTCCCTCAACGGGATGAAACCGGACTGATCTTTGTTGATGTAGTTTGCTACTATGGATTGTAGACGCGTTGCGATTGTGGCCGTGAAAATTTTATAGTCTATATTTAACAACGAGATCGGTCTATAAGACTTTGGATCCGTAACATCTTTGTCTCGTTTTGGTATTAGAATGATATTTGCCGAATGCCATGATAGAGGCATATGCCCTGAAGCCCTGATTTCGTTACAGGCTTCTTTCCCTTAATAGATGTGATATTCAATAAGCCCTTTCTAAAAGTGTAAGAAAGTGATGCAAATCTATGTGCAATTTCCAGCCAATACTTTTGCTTAGGATTTAATTACAGACCAATATTTCCAAGTAGAACACGAATAATAAAAGCTACTCCATGGCAGGGAGTTTCTCCACATTCATTCATTCATTAACAAGCTGCACAATAAGATTTGGGAAATAATTTAAACATTTACCTTTTGTGCAATTCCTCATCTGCAAATTCCTTTGGTATGAGAGAAAAGTATTTCCCCATCTTCAGCCATAAATTGGACTTGGGAATCCATCCATTGTGAGCATGAATAGCATGTATTTTAGCAAGTTGCCTGGCTATGAGCCTGCAAGAAATTGAAGTTTTATACCAAAGTTTCACTGTAATAATGTTTACAAGTAGCTTGGCTTTGAGCAATATCCACTTACAACAATGAGAAGTCTATTACTAGCATACTACAGGGCAGTCAAAGATAGCAAAGTACTGCCATCACTGAAGGAATGAGAGATGTTGATACTTATACTTCACAGAGCAAGATCACTCATCAGTGATGCTTTCAGGACAACTATTACAACTATTACAACTTTAAAACATGACTAGAATGAAAGCTCTAGCACCAGTCTCAATGAGACAGAGTATGATTTCTCCCCCACATTCAGGAATCAAGATTAGAACAGCACAGGCATTCAGCTGAAACAAAAACACATGCAAATAAATAGGAAGGCCTGTACAAAAGTAAATGACACTCTGAAGTGTCTTGAAGAAACGGTGAAATAGGTAATACTATGGGTAACTACTGTCAGCAAGGCAGACTGCCAGAGCGTTTAAAGAGCAAATGCCAAAGACTGGGGGGGGCGGAGAGACACCAAAGTAAGCCTTCTTCACTGAGAAGGAAGAAAATTCATGCTTCTCAAATGGGAGATTAGTGCCTGAGCAGTATTTTAGTCAAGGGACACAGAGGAAGGGCTTGTGCCTTTTTTCCTAAGCTGCTTATTTGTCCATATAAAACTATCCTGTCTCTGAACATGGGATATCATTTACCACAATGCACCATGGAATCTGCAAGGTGACAGGCAGTATGGTTGGAGACCACTCTAAGCTCCTTGAAGAAAAAAGAAAAACAAGTTGCTTACCTGTAACTGGTGATCTTCAAGTGGTCATCTGTGCATTCACACCCATGGGTTCTAGTGCGCACGCGCTGGATCGATCAGCATTGTAGCAAGCGCTTTTAACGGATTTTCGTGCATAGTCCCTTGGGCATGCACAGGAACCCCACCGTGCATGCCCAGAGGGGAGGGCGCGGACATCCCACCAGTTCCTTCAAACCGCCGCAAATCAACCCCTATTAAAAATGCTGAAGCGGGGAAGGAGGGCGGGTGGTGTGAATGCACAGATGACCACTCGAAGATCACCAGTTACAGGTAAGCAACCTGTTTATCTTCGACGTGGTCTCTGTGCTTCACACCCATGGGAGATTAGCGAGCAGTGGCCTACCTGGAGGAGGGTGCTGGCAGGTCCTTTACTGTGTAGCCGAAGATAGAATGCGACGTCCCATGTTGGTATTAAGAGTTTTTGCAGACGTCTAAGGCGTAGTGCCTGATAAAGGTGTTAGGCGTGGCCCACGTAGTGGCTTTGCAAATGTCCGTCAGGGGCATTCCCTGGAAGAAGGCAGTGGAAGCTGCAACAGCTCGGATTGAATGGGCCCTGATTGGGCCAGGCAATGGCTGTTTGGCAATCAGGTAGCAGAGGCGGATGAGACCCGCAATCCACCTTGAGAGGCGCTGAGCCGTGATGCGAGTCCCCAGCCTTGATGGTGCGTACGAGACGAATAGTTGGGAGTCGCGTCTCGCTGGGCGGGTTCTGTTCAGATAGAACAGGCGCGCACGCTTCACATCCAAGGTGTGTAACAGTCTGTCCTCTGAGGATGTTGAAGCCGGGAAGAAATCCATGAGGAAGACCTCTGCCTGTAGGTGGAATTCTGACACTACCATTGGCAGGAACGACATGTCAGGTATAAGGCGGACGCCGTCTGGCAAAAAGGACAAGTATGGCGTGTCATGCCTGAAAGCCAGTATTTCTCCAACCCGCCTTGCAGAGATGACAGCAACCAGAAAGGCCGTCTTCCACGACAGACATTTCATATCGCAAGTTGCAAGTGGTTCAAAGGGTTTCCTTGTGAGCTGGCGAAGAACTAGAGGAAGATTCCAGGGAACGACAGGAGTTTTGACAGGAGGGTAGAGATGCAATAAACCTTTTAAAAAAACGTTTTGAAAGCGGATGGGGAAACAGTGTGCATCCGTCAACTTGAACATGGTAGGCCAAAAGGGCGGCCAAATAAACACGTAACGATGAGTAGGAAAGTCCCGAGTCAGCGAGGGATAGGAGGAATTGGAAAACTTTCTTGAGACCTGCAGAGGTGGCTCGAGCGGCATCATCACCAAGGGAAGAAAAGAACCTTTGCCATTTATAATGGTAGGACCTTTGCATAGTAGGTTTTCTGGCGTTCAGTAGAACGTTTGCTACGCGGGTGGAAAAACCGTTGATATTATTCTCCACGCTGTCAATTTCAAGTGTGGTACGTCGTGATGTAGGAGCGGGTAGTCGGACAGGAAGAGGAAGTCCTGTGCCGGAGGGAATTGGTGGTATATTCCTGTTGATAATTCAAGGACGGTCAAAAACCATGGTTACCTCGGCCACCATGGGGTTATCAATATGCAGTCCGCGCTGTCTCTGACAATTTTGCGGACCACTCTCAGAAGCATGGGTAAGGGAGGGAACAGGTAAAGGAGGTTCTTGGACCAAGGATAAAGGAGACCGTCCCCTAGAGACTGTGGGTCCCTGCCGCCTCGGCTGCAGAACAGAGGACACTTTTTGTTGTCTCTGGTGGCAAAGATATTGACTTGGGGAACTCCCCACCTGCGGAAGAGTGGGAGGAGGTAGGTAGGGTTCATTTCCCACTCGTGGAGACTGAGCCCTGCTCGACTTAAATGGTCTGCCTGCACATTCAGGCATCCTGGAATGTGAGTGGCTATCAAGACATCGTGGGCGATACAAAGGTCCCATATCTGGATGGCAAGTTTGCAGAGACGTAGGGAGACCGTGCCTCCTTGTTTGTTGATATAGCTGAGTGCAGTGGTATTGTCTGCGAGGACCGTAACACATTTGCTTTTGATCATTGGTAGGAAGCTCGTGATAGCGAACTGTATTGCTAGCAGTTCCAGGAAGTTTATGTGCCGACCTTGTTCGTGGGTGTTCCACTTGCCTCCCACACACATGCCCATCATGTGAGCACCCCAGCCCGACAGGGAAGCATCCGTGGTCAGGGTGATTTGGGGTGATGGAAGATGGAAAGGTGCTCCCTGGAAGAGATTGGAAGGGACAGTCCACCAAAGTAACGAGTCTCGTATGTTGGGAGGAGGGGTTAGGAGGACGGTATGTGCATTTTTCGTTGGGACATACTTGCGGATGAACCACAGTTGTAGATGACGCATCTTTAGTCTGGCACAGACGAGGACCAACGTAGCTGCGGCTATGAGGCCGAGAAGCCTCTGAATTTGGAAAGCCGTGACTGAAAACTGGGTGAGGACGACATTGGTTAGGGAAATGATGTCTGCCACTCTGTCTTGTGGCAGGTAAGCCATGCATGTCTTGGAATCCAGTATAGCACCGATGTACTGTATTCTTTGGACTGGACGTAAATGAGACTTCTCGTGATTGAGCTGGAGGCCTAAATTTTCGAATAGTGCCAACGTCTCGGTGATGTTTGAGACCAGGGCGTTCTTTGAAGGCGCTACCAGGAGCCAATCATCGACACAGGAGTAGCTGGAGATACACCTGAGACAGAGAAAAGCTGCAACGACAATAATAGTCTTTGTAAAGACCCTTGGGGCGCTTGACAGGCCGAATGGAAGGGCTGCATATTGGTAATGCTGTTGACCAACTGCGAAGCGTAGGTATGTGAGGTGGAAGTACGGGTCTTGGAGGTCGAGGGTGGCCATCCAGACATGTTTTCGGAGGAGCGGCATAATCTGTTGCAGGGACACCATGCGGAAATGGTGGTAGGTCACAAAACAATTCAGTGCCCTTAGATCTAATATGGGTCGTACGCCTCCATCCCGCTTTGGAACTGTAAAATATCGGGAATAGAATCCTTTCCTCTGCAAATGAGGTGGTACCGGCTCGATGGCTCCCTTGTGCAGAAGGACGGAAACCTCTTCCAGGAGAGGTGGGGAAGGGGGTGTGGAGACGACGACAGGAGTAATGGGGTTCTGGTGGAATTGGATACGGTAGCCTTGGGTCAAGATGGATAGTACCCATTCGTCTGAGGTGATATGACGCCAGGTGTGAAGGAAGGGTGATAGACGGGTTTGCCCTGACTCGGTGAGAGGGAAGTCAAAAACCCTGTTTGGAGGGTTTTGCCTGTTTGGTGCGAGAAGAGTTTTGCCCAGATCCAAACCGTGGTTTTTGGAAGTTGGGTTTTTGGCCTCCTGAAGAGGTCCACTGTCTCCATTGTCTGTCAGGAGACTGACAACCTGGGGTACGCCTTTGCCAGGGCCTGAACCAGGTGCGAGGACGGTATTGTTGTCTCACAGAGAATGACACTCCCAGAGCCCAAGAAGCCTTTATACTCTTATTCATATCCTGGAGTATGGAATCGGTAGTGCTGTTAAAGAGACCGAGGCCATCAAACGAAAGGTCTTCGACGTAAGACCTAGTATCTATAGGTAGACAGGTATTACAGAGCCAGGGATGTCTCCTCAGAGCTATTGCAGAGGCCATCGTTCTTGAGGATGCGTCTAGGGCATGTTTTGAAGTGTTGATCTGCTGTTTTGCCAACACCATGCCTTCCAGCTGCCTGTAGTTTATCTTCAGGAAGATGAGTTAGGATTTCAGAAAACCTTTCCCACAGAGTGTATTGATATCTGCTCATGCAGGCTAGGTAGTTAGTGGTTTTCACTCCCAACGCTCCTGTAGAGTAGACGCGTCTGCCAAAGGCATCCAATTTCTTACTTTCCCTGTCAGAAGGTGCAGAGTGAGTTCTTTTAGATTTGGAGGAGGAGGTTACAACCATAGAATTTGGTTGAGGGTGGGAGAATAAAAATTTAGCTCCAGTTTCCTGGACTCTGTACATGTGATCCAGGTGTCTTGTTGACACTGGGGATGACGAAGGCTTCTCCCATGGTGCCTTAGCGGCTTGTAGAAGGACCGTAGACATCGGTAACGCCAAAGTAGCGGAGGTATCAAGCTGTACGATATTGAAAACTGCATCAGACACTTGAGGGTGTTGTTGGACAACCGAGATGCCTAGAGAATGGGCCATTCTTTTGACGAGATCTGTATATGACGTGAGATTGTCAGATGGGGATATGGGTAGATCACCAGCGACAACCTGATCAGGAGACATGGTCAGGAGAGGTATTAACCTCGGAGGCTTCTGTATCCGAATCCTCTTCCACAGTGTCAGAGGAATCTTGGTGTGGTATTTGGACTGGAGTGACCTCAGTTTGACTGGTTAATGGTTTAGGTGGTACGACTTGGGGATTTGACGGACGACCGCTACCTGGATTGTGGTGGGAAGGGTCGTTGGCAGGAGAATGTGACAAAGATGCCGAAGGGCGACCTGTAGGGCGACCGTGATCTGTGGGCAGAGTGGGATGAATAATGATCCCAGTCAGAATAGCCCGCCGGAGTCAACCATGGCACGGATGGTGGATAACCCCCATAAAGATACCTAAGCTGTTGTTGATCCCAAGACAGAGGTGGGGGGGGGATAGAAAGACTCGGGGGGATCGACTTCTGGACCGTGGACGTCTTGGAGACAAGGCGGCAGCCTGCCTTTGAGAGTAGTCCCTGTAATCCCGGTCGTCGATATCGACAGATTGAACATGCAGATGTGGAGAGTGACGCTGCGTGCTGTTGGAAGTATGTCGATCCCGACGGGAATCGATTTCAGGAGCCTCCAATACCGTCGATGTCGACGATGGGGAGGGAGAGGGAGAAGGCTCTGCATCCATCTGATGACTTAAGAGCTCTACCGTCTCGATGTCGGAGTAAGGACGCTCCAATTGGTGTACAGGGGAGTCCACTTTAGGGGCATCACCCAGTGCAGACACCGCTACCTTCCCCTTCTTTGCCGCCTTAAGGGACTTAGAGGAGCCCTTCTTTGCAGACTTGTGCTCCTTACTTGGTTTGGCCTTCTTTTTCACCAGCGTGGAAGTGGAGGATTGCGCCTTCGATGCCGGTGGTTTCGACTTCGGTAGAACGATATCAGAAGAGGGCCTCGATGCCGGAGCCATCTATGTAGAAGGCCTCTCGGACTCCATCATTGTGGCAGGATGCAACGGCAACTCAAGGAGCACCACAGGCGCGCAGCTCTATTTTTTCGTGTCTGGTTGGAAAAACGAGCGCAGTGGCGACAGGACTCAGGCCGATGAGACTCTCCCAAACAAAAAATACACAGGGTGTGACGGTCAGGTGGAGCAAGTTTACTGCCGCAACCCTTGCACCGGTTAAAAAAGCCCCACTTCTTCTCTATAAAAATAAACAGCGAAGAAGAAAGAAAGGGGGGGGGGTAGCCCGAAGGCCACACTGGGGTAAACCGGCAACTTCCCCCTCAGTTGTAAAATAAAGTTTGTTTTTTAAAGAACAAAGAAACACTGAAGAAAAAAGGATAAAGTGAGGGAAAATCCAAAGAGCCGTGAGGCAAAAGCCAAAAAAGCGAACCGATCAGACTGACAAGAAAGAGGTCTTTCCGATGCAGCGGTAAGAAAGGAACTGGCAGGATGTCCGCGCCCTCCCCTCTGGGCATGCGCGGTGGGGTTCCTGCGCGTGCCCGAGGTCTGGGCGCGAAAATCCGTTAAAAGAGCTTGCTACAATGCCGATCGATCCAGCGCGTGCGCGCTAGATCCCATGGGTGTGAAGCACAGAGACCACGTCAAAGATAATACCAACATAACAAAAATTAAACTCAGCAATGCTGAAGTGCTTACCGGAATATCTCTGGGTTGCAAACGTGTTCTGGATCCAGGGCTTCTCCTGGCATGAACTCATAGCACAGGCCATTAGTGAAAGTACAGTAGAGTTGCGGTGCACAGCCATGGGCCTGCAACACACGGAAGCTCTTTACTTCCTCCTCTCGATCAACTAACAGCTCTGTCTTATTTCCATAAATTCTTACAAGGACCACATCATCCATCTCTTCATCCACATAACAGCCAATAAGCTTATTGGTAATTCCATCCGTAAATAACTGTAAAGCAAGAGGAATGCATGTTAGGGCTTTTACACATTTAAGACAGTCTGGAATATTTAGCAGGAGTGCTTTCACAAGTAATTCCTCATCTACTACAAAATCTTCAAAACCATCTGATGTAAGCAGTTTTTTTAAAAATGTTAATTGTGTGAGAATATGCTTCAAGACACACTGATTGCATATAGTTGGCAATACCAACACTCAGGCAGCCCATCAGCTAAGAGCAACAGAGCAGCCCAGATTAAACATGGGCTAACACCATCAGATGTAACTATTTCTTGCAATGTACATTACATAGTAAACAGAACAAATGGTCCTGAGTGGGAAGGAGACAACAGCAATCATATCAACCTACTTTTGTCTGAGTGCAAGAGAAACAAAGGACACACAAAAGCTACAAATACAGAAAATTAAGGGCAAAGATAAAAACCGGGCTTTTTAAAAGTAAATGCTGGGGAGGGAGGATGGCAAAGCATATTATGATGCTGAAATTATTCCCAGTATAACCACAACTTGTTAGGCTAGAAAACAGGCACTTAACTAATCTGGCTTTTCAATGCAAGCAGAGTTTGGAAATGTAAGAGTCATGGCCACTGATTTTTGCTTCCAAAATAATACCCTTTCCCCAAACCTGCTCATAATACATTTATTTACTGACTTCATTTATACCCTGCCTTACTCTCAAAAGGGGACCCAAAACTGTTAGGTTTTAATTGTAATATTTGGAATTTAAATTTGTAATATATTGACTGTATTGTATATTTAACTGTTGGAAGTCGCCCTGAGCCCTGCTTGTCAGGGAAAGGAGAAGGATATAAGTTGAATGAACGAATGCAGCTTACATCATTCTCTTGTCCATTTTATCCTCACAACAACCCTGTGAGATAAGATACTGAGTGTGAGACTAGCCCAAGGATACACAGCAAGTTTCCATGAAAGAACGGCATTTCAAACCTGGGTCTCTCCCAGATTCTAATTTGTAAACTCTGCAAGTTAATGAGAATACAGCTAGTGCTGCATAGTATTTTCCATCTGTGCATATATAAACATTCACAAAATTCTACCGAGCGACTGAGAGGTACAGTTATTCTTACAGAAAGTTCAAGCTTTGTCATTCACTGCATTCAGCAACATTCAGTTTCCATCATATTGTTAATGTCGTGGATTGCTGTTACTTTTCTACAAGTCAAAACCAATGCTCCCTCTAAACTGTGGAATCTTCTGAGCAAAAACTCTACTTTGTGAGCTACTGGCATTAACGTTGTGAGAGAGCGATTTGGCTACTGCATAAATTAGTTTGCTCCGGAGCCACCCTTCCTGAGCTAAGACAAAAAGGTGTGAGCCGGAGGCTAAAAAACTGTGAGCTAGCTCACACTCACTCAGCTTAGAGGGAACACATTTTGCAAGAAATTTATCCTAATTGTTGTAACTGCCACTTTTAACCTCATTATTTCTAGCAGACAGACACTTATGTGTACAAGGAAATTAGATCCCAGAGATCCAATAAATTAGTCTTTCTATGCCCACCTTCTAACACTATAATTCACTTGCAAAATGCTGCTATAAATAATAATTATTTTCACTCACGTGTCTTTTGGAGTATGACATCTCAAAACCTGTCATATCTCAAAGCATAAAGTTTTATAACTGACAAGTTTAGCAGTATAAACCACTGAAACAGGCCACCGTTCAACAACCCCTGTTAATCTAAAGGCAAAACTGATAGTTAACTTCAAACTAAAATCAAACTTCTTAACACAGGACAGCTAACAGCTGAAGTATGAACCCAGCAACCTGGTTTCTGTCTCAAGTAAAGCTGCTGGAAAACCATATTAAAGGACAGGCCTTGCAGAAGGGAATTATGCTGACTTTTGCAAAAGGAAGGCTTTAAAGTTCTTCGAAACCGTGATGGCCATTTACAGACCTGAACTTTCCAAGAGATTCTGGCACACTCTCTTCCTTTTCAAGGAAGGTAAGAAAGCCAGAAGAGGAGGACAAGTGCTCGTAAGGTTAGAAATCGGAAAACTTGGAAAGGAAGTGTCTGGCCCCTTCCTATCTTTAAAAAAATTCCAACAAAAAACAACAACAACACCCTGAGATGTTTGGGTGAAGCACCAGAAAAAGAAACTTCTTTGAAGTGTTTTCTATTTTAGAATATTTTTCTAAATAGAACGCTCTGAGGCAAGGTTGTTCATCAAGGTTGAATGGAAAATGTGGAAATTTAGGGGAACGTTTTAAAAAACTGGACTCTAGGATACTTAGGTGGATAGGGAACTGGTTGGAGAACCACACTGGGCCCAGTACTTTTCAATATTTTTATAAATGATCTAGATGAGGGTGTGGAGGGGCTACTCATTAAATCTGCAGATGACACTAAGTTGGGAGCAGCAGCAAACACACCAGAAGATATAGAATTCAACAAGATCTGAACACACGGGAAAAGTGGGCGGATGTGAACAAGATGCGATTTAACAAGGATAAGTGCAGAGTTCTACATCTGGGTAACAAAAATGAGGAACACGCATACTGGATGGGGGATACACTTCTCAGTAGCAGTGTGTGTGAACAGTGGGGTAAGGGTGGATCAGAAAAATATGAGCAGCCAGTGTGATGCGGCAACAAAAAAAGCTAATGCAATCTCAGGGTGTATCAACAGAGGCATAACATCCAAATCACAACATGTGATAGTCCCGCTGTAGACTGCATTGGTCAGGCCAGACCTGGAATACTGTCAGCAGTTCTGGAGGCCTTACTTCAAAAAAAGATGTGGACAGAATGAAGTGTGTGCAGAGGAGAGCAACGAGGATGATCAGGGGCCTGGAGACCAAGCCCTATGGGGAAAGGCTTAGGGACTTGGGAATGTTTAGTCTGGAGGAGGCTGATTGCTCTCTTGAAGTTGTGTGGAATCAGCTGCCTAGGAAGGTGGTGAGCCTCCCCCTCCCTGGCAGTCTTCAAGCAGCGGATGGACAAACACTAATCAGGGATGCTCTAGGCTGATCCTGCACTGAACAGGGGGTTGGACTAGATGGCCTGTATGGCCCCTTTCAACTCTCCGATTCTATGAATCAGTCAAAATACAGTCAAACTGCAAGTTAAGAATCAAATACAGTATTCTTCTCTCTGTTTTTTACAATATTTATTATATTTATATCCCGCCCTCCCAGCCTTGGCGGGCTCAGGGAGGCTAACAACATAGATATATATGTATACATTAAAACGCCAATATCCTTATTCTATTTTCAAGAGTTTTTTTTCCTGTGCGGATACTTATTTCCACCAACAGGGGGCTCACTCTCCCCCAACAGCTTTTCCTACATAGTCAGTAGATTTCCTGGGTTTGTAGAAAAATCCAAAAACTAAAAAAATCCCCGACCACATAGGGCTTTAAAGGTTAGAACCAGCACCTGGAACTGTATCCGGTATGCTATAGGCAGCCAGTGCAGTGCTTTTAGGGCGGGCTAGATGTGTTCCGGCAAAGGAAGACACAACAGCCTCGCCGCTACATTCTGCACCAGCTGCAACATCCGGATTTGGGACAAGGGCAGCCCCATGTAGAGAGCATTGCAGTAATCCAATCTCGAGGTGACCAATGCGTGGATCACTGTTACCAGGTCATTGTGTTCAAGGAAAGGAACCAACTGCTTAATTAGCCGTAGATGGTAGAAGGCAGGCTTCGCAGTGGCTGCTACCTGGGCCTCCATCATTAAGATGTCCAGGAGCACTCCCAAACTCCTAACCTCCGGCACTGGCACCAACGGCACCCCATCAATGGTCGGGAGAGGGATCCCTAACCTTGGGCCACTCCGACTCAGGCACAGGACCTCCATCTTCGTCGGATTCAACTTCAGTCGGCTCAGTCTAAGCCAACCAGCCACAGCTTTCAACGCCAGGTCCAGATCTCCAGGACTAGAGTCTGAATGGCCTGTCCAACAACAGATAGAGCTGGGTGTCATCAGCATACTGGTGACAACAACCCAGTCCATGTCTACGTGCAATCTGGGCAAGAGGGCGCATATAGATGTTAAGCAGCAATGGGGAAAGCACTGCTCCTTGGGGCACTCTGCAAATTAGTGGGTGCCTTCTGGATAGCTGTTCCCCAACCTCCACCCTCTGTCCCCGACCCTGGAGAAATGAGGAGAGCCACTGCAAGGTGACCCCCTGTATCAACGAGGCAGTGGATCAGTAGTTGATGGTCGACCATGTCGAACACCACCAACAGGTCTAACAACATCAATACTGCCATACCGCCTCTATCCAGATGCCTCCGGAGATCATCTGTGAGGGCAACCAGGACCATCTCTGGATCTAATATGGAGGTGTCATCCAAAAAACCCTGCAGCTGATTCACCACCGCCTTCTCGATTAATTTGCCTAAATAGGGCAAGTTGGATACCGGTCAATAATTAGCCAATTTGGCCGGATCCGATGATGGCTTTTTTAGGAGGGGGTGGACCACTGCCTCCTTTAGGGCACTAGGGAACAGTCCCTCCTACAGGGACTTGTTGACAATCTCCCTTAGTGCCCCTCGCAAGTCATCACGGCCAGCTTTAGTTAGCCATGATGGGCACGGGTCAAGGCTGCAGGTGGTTGGGCAAACCGATGAGAGTAATTTGTCGACCTCCCCTAGGCTGAGTGGACCAAAATAATCCAGAACGTGACCAGAAAACACTCACGGAGCCTTGAGTTCTGTTACTGTCTCAACTGTGGCGGGGAGGTTGTGGCAGAACGACAAGACTTTAAAAGCCTCACAGCCAATTTCCAATTCCTTATCGTTTAGTCTGCCCTGTGGCAGAGTAGCAAGAGACCAAATTGTTCTAAATAATTGGGCTGGGCGAGAGCTCACAGACGCGATCTCAGCCACGTAATATTCTTTTTTCACGGCCTTGACTGCCATCTCATAGGATCTCATAAACATCCTATAGGATGCTCTTGATGCTTCGTCCTGAGTGCTTCGCCACTGTCTCTCTAGTCGTCTAAACTCCCACTTCATCAACCTC